ATTTCTGCAAATAATCCTTTAGTGATCGTAGCTTTTTATGACTACACTTGTTACAGCCCAGAACTAAAACATTGCTTAAAAAAAGAGACAAAGTTGAAGCTTTTCAGTTTGCAGTCTTCAGGACTGAAACACGAGAAGCCAAACTTAAGGGAGCACCAATTTGTATCACATGACAAGAATACTTATTACAATTGGTGTGGCGATACAGCTGGAACTGTGAATATAGAAATGTTGGAACAGAATTAGGCCACTCAGCCCATCGAAGCTCAGTTAGATCATGACTGCAGCATCTGTAACACTGCTCCCTTTTTGTTATCAAACAGGTACCTATGTGGACTCACTGGGGAGACGTTGAGGAGGGTGTAAGGGTGGAGGTACCGAACACAGATTGCAACCTGCCTACCAAGGTCTTCTGGATTGCAAGCATCATAAAGTTAGCAGGTACAATCGAATTCTTGTTTTGGCAACAATGACAGGTATTGCTGCACATAACTTACTGTCCTTAAAACCAACTCTTGACCAAATGTTTAGCCCCCGATATTTCTGTGACTTGGTATCATATTTGTTTAATAACTCTGCTGTGAAGTGCCTTTAAGATTTATGTACTGCTTTTAATGTAAAAAAAATTAGTTGTATAAGAGCTTTTTTTTTATAGTTAGTGTGGTGCCTGAGTGGTGATCATCTGGTTTCCAGCCTAGCCTCTTCAACAATGCTTCCACCACTAAATTAAGGTTGGGGAAATGTTGGCTGTAATTTCAAAGAAGGGATTGTTAATCAAGGCCTGGTTGTCCTCCTGCATCAGTCACAAAGTGCAGGTGCAGCAGGTAGTTTAAAAACACAAACTGTATGTTGGCTGTAGGGCAGCATGGTGGCTCAGTGGTTAGCACTGCTGCCTCACAGCGCCAGGGACCCGGGTTCAATTCCAGCCTCAGGCGACTGTCTGTGTGGAGTTTACATGTTCTCCCTGTGTCTGCGTGGGTTTCCTCCGGTTTCCTCCCACAGTCCAAAGATGTGCAGGCTAGGTGGATTGGCCATGCTAGATTGCCTGTAGTGTTCAGGGATGTGTAGGTTAGGTGGGTTATAAGGGGATGCGTCTGGGTGGGATGCTCTCAGGGTTGGTGTGGACTTGTTGGGCCGAAGGGCCTGTTTCCACACTGTAGGGATTCTATGATTCTATGACCTTTAATAGTGAGAGGAGTCGAGTACAGGATCAAGGATGTCTTGGCTTCACTTTTATATAGGTGAAGCCACACCGGAATATTATGTACAGTTTTGCTCTCCTTATCTGAGGAAGGATGTTCTTGCTATTGAGAGAGTGCAGTGAAGGTTTACCAGGCTGATTCCCAGGATGGTAGGACTGACACATAAGGAGAGATTGTAGGATTAGTAGTTAGTAGTGTATTCACTGGAGATGAGAAAAATGTTGAGGCAGTGGTGACTATCTTGTAGAAACCTGTAAAATTCTAACATGGCTGGACAGGTTAGATGCAGGAAGGATGTTGCTGATGCTTGGGGGAGCCAGAGCCAGGGGCCAAAGTTTAAAAATGAGGGGCAGACTTTTTAGAACTGAGATGAGGAGAAATGTCTTCACCCAGAGAGTGGTGTGCCTGTAGAATTTTCTACTGTAGAGAGCAGTTGACACAAAACCATTGTGTTTTCAAGAAGAAAGTAGATATAGCTCTTGTGGCTAAAGACACCAAGGGATACAGCAGGGAGGTTGGGAATTGGGTATTGAGTTTGATGAACAGCTGTGATTGTATATAATGGCAGAGCAGGCTCGAGGGGCCAAATGGCTGACTCCCGCTCCTGTTTCTATGTCCCTATGAGAGGGAACTAAGTTGCTGTTGGAATAATGATGCCACCAGCTTATGTTGAGTAAAACAGTGAGAGCAGCTGTAGATTTGTTTGTCCTGTTTCTGATTGCTGAAATGGTGGATGTTGTCAAGTAGGGCTGCAATGTGGATGAGGCATTCATAAATACTTTTACCTTCAATCAGCTTAAACAATCCTAACCAGTTAGGGAGCAAGGATATAAAGATAGTCCTGTGTACCTGATTGTACAAAAATGTAAGACCTTCAGGCCTGGGGTTAACATAGCATGATGACTTTGCTGTCTTGAAACACCAATGTGTCATCTAATTGTCCTTCATTTGAAAACTTCTCTGCATAATTATGGCCAAAAATTCATTGGCTTCCAGCTAAAGAATAGAACAGTTCATATTGTTCACGTTGACTATATCTTGCCTCTGAATCAGAAGATTCTGGGTTCAGGTCCCATTGAGGGTGACCAGCACTGTTGGAGGTGCACTGTTATTTGAATACAATGATAAAGTGTGACCCTGTCTGCCTCCTTCAGTGTCAGTGAGATCCCATTGCATTATTTTGATGAACAGGGAGTGCTGGCCAATATTTCTCTCTCAGACAAAATCACTGTAAAAAGCTTATCTGATCATTTTCTCATCACCTATGTAGGGAGCTTGGATGGAAGTAAATTGGCTACCACGTTTCCTACACTGCTACTCTGACTCCATTCGAAAATACTTTCCTTTGTCATAAAGCTCCTTAGACTGACTCTGATCATGAGAGGTGCTGTGATGATGCAAGTCTGCCTTGCCTCACACCCTGTTGTCTCCATTTCCCCCACACTGAGGGAAAGAAAACATGGATATGTATTTTCTTTCTGATCTCGTCCTGAAGGTGGTGGAAAATGTTCTCTAGGGTGAAGGCAGAACGGCTCTGAAACAGCTATGAGGTGTACAGCTGTTACTCAGGAGAGAGCCTGCCTCTCTCTGCGATGGGATCTGTGTTTCCTGTAGTAATGTGGCTGTGATTGGGTGTTTGAGCTGGATTGTATGAACTGAGGTTCCAAATCTAGTCTTGCTGCCATCACTGCAAGTGCACATTGGCTCAATGAGCACTTTTCCTAACCGCTAATAAAAATGTATTTCTTGGTCTCAGTGATTCTGTTTTCTTGTAGGTTACAAGGCTTTGCTTCGATATGAAGGTTTTGACAATGACTCTAGTCTTGATTTCTGGTGCAATATATGTGGTACGGATGTTCATCCGGTTGGCTGGTGTGCAACTAGTGGCAAGCCATTAGTTACTCCTCGCAGTAAGTGTTCTTTCCTTTTTTTTTTTAACAATTCAAATTGTTAATTTGCCAATGTTGTTAAGAGCTTCCAGGGCTATTCTGGTTTCCTGAATTAACTCCCAGTTCCCATTCTCTATTGCAAATTATCTTAAACCCATGCCCCTTGTTTCCTTCACATTCACGTCCAATGAGAGGAATAAGGAATTCATAGATTTCTTTGTCATTGACACCATCTAATTAGCTGTCTCCATCACTTTGATCCCTTTCAGTCACACTGCCCTTACCACCAAACTGCCCTCTGCCCTAGCCCTGAACTGGTATTTTTCTTTAGTTTGCCTGGTGTCTTCACCGATGCCTTCTCTAAACAGCACTTCTCAACAAGACCCAAATGCTGTTCCCTCAATTCTCTACCCACTAAACTGCTGGCCATCCAACTTCTCTTCTGGGTGCTCTGTATTGTTTGTTGTTTACAATTTCCTTTGTCTCTTCATTTACTGTGTTTTGTCTTAGAGCTGCTGATGTCACCCCCATCCTCAAAAAAAAATTCCCATAACAATGCCCTTGCAAAGTGGTGCCCCATTTCTAACTTCCATTTCCTCCTCAAAATCTTGTAGGCATTATCACTTCCCAAGCCCGTGCCAATCTTTCTCAGAAATCCAATATTGGCAATTTGGGCACAGAAGTTGCAGACGGAGTTTAATCCAGACAAAAGCAAGGTGATACATTTTGGAGGATCCAATTCAGGTGTCAATTATACTGCAAGTAGCAGAACCCTTAGGAACATTAACACACAGATGGATCTGGGCGTACAGGTCCACGGTTCCTAAAAGTGGTAACGTGGGTGGCCAAGGTGATGAAGAAGGCATATGGTATGCTTGCCTTCATCGCCAGGGCATGGAGTGCAAGAGTTGGCAAACCATGGTGCAGCTACATAAAACCCTTGTTAGGCTGTATTGTGTGCAGTTTTGGTCGCCACCTTACCAGAAAGACGTGGAAGCTTTGGAGAGAGTGCAAAGAAGGTTCACCAGGATGTTGTTACAGAGATAGTAGGAACTGCCGATGCTGGAGAATCTGAGAGAACATGGTGTAGAGCTGGATGAACACAGCAGGCCAAGCAGCTTGGGAACCTGCAGCCCAAGGGTATCAATGTGGACTGCACAAGCTTCAAAATCTCCCCATCCCCGACTGCATCCCAAAACCAGCCCAGCTCATCCCTGCCTCCCTAACCATTCCTCCCACCTCAAACCCCACCCCCATCTCCTACCCACCAACCTCATCCCGCCTCCTTGACCTGTCCATCCTCCCTGGACTTGACCTATCCCCTCCCTCACTCCCCACCAACACTCGCCTTTAATGGCTCCATCCCCACCTCTTTGACCTATCTTCTCCTCTATCCATCTTCTGTCTGCCTCCCCCTCTCTCCCTATTTAGTTCAGAATCCCCTTCCCCTCCCCCATTTCTGAAGAAGGGTCTCGACCCAAAACGTCAGCTTTCCTGCTCCTCTGATGCTGCTTGACCTGCTGTGTTCATCCACCTCTACACCGTGTTATCTCACCAGGATGTTGCCTGGTTTCGAGGGCCTTGGCTATGAGGAAAGGTTGAAAAGGCTAGGATTGTTTTCACTGGAAAGACGGTGGCTGAGAGGAGACCTGATCGAGGTCTACAAAATTGAGAGGTATAGATAGGGTGGATAGTCATAGGCTTTTTCCCAGGGTTGAAGTTCCAGTTACAAGGGGGTACAGGTTTAAGGTGAGGGGAAAAGTTTAAGGGAGATTTGCGAACGAAGTTTTTCCACAGAGTGGTAGGAGCCTGGAATGCACTGCCAGAAGAGGTGGTGGAAGCAGGCATGTTGGTGACGTTTTAAGAGGCATCTGGATGGTTACATGAATAGGGAGGGAATAGAGGGATATGGACAGAATAAGGGCAGAAGATTTGTATTTTTCATTTTGTTAGGACATGATGATTGGCACAGACTTGGAGGGCCGAAGGGCCTGTTCCTGTGCTGTACTTCTCTTTTGTTCTTATCCTTCTAGTCCAGTTTCATTTACTTGTATGGGATACTGAAATTACACTTGATAAAGTCATTAGTGTTATCCTATATGATTGTGACACTCATCCACTTTAATTCCTTATTCATCTCAACCTGTTCGCAGTCTTCACCACAATCATCATCTCTCTGTAGGTACACATCTATTCAAAGTTTTGATAAAGATCTGTAGCTGTGGTTGTGGGTGAGGTTGTTGACTTGCTCACCGAGCTGGCTTGTTCTTGTTCAGATGTTTCGTCACCATGGTAGGTAACATCATCAGTGGAGCCTCTGATGAAGTGATGTTATTCAACTCCGGTTGGAATTTATATGTTTGGTCCATTTATGGTGAGTAGCATCATTTCCGGTTTTGATCTGTATGGGTTTAAATATGGGGTCCAATTCTGTGCCAGACAGACAGGAAGGAAACTAGCCATCAGAATACATGTACATCAACTAGCAACAAAACGGCGCGACAATCTCTCCTTAATATCTGTAAATTCAGACAATGGAGGCCATCAGCTTAACTGGGACAAAGTAACCATAGTAGCCCAAGCCAAACATAGACACGCACGGAAATTCCGAGAGGCATGGTTCTCCACCCATACTTCAATCAACAATCATATAGAATTGGACCCGATATACAAATCAAATCATACAGATCAAAACCCGAAGTGACAGTACTCACCATGACAGACCGGACAGTATAAATTCTAAGCGGAGCAGAATAACACCACATCATCGGAGGCTAAACTGATGATGTTACCTAGCATGGTGACGAAAAGTCTGAACGAGAACAAGCCAGTTCGGCGAGCAAGTCAATAACCTTGTACACGTCTATTCTATCAAATTATCTTAGACATTCTAGGTGATAAATACAGTCAGAATATGATCATATCTTCTGCTTCATACGTGGGTCGATGTCTGTTACTGCCTGACATAATTTCAATCCAGCATAATTTTTCTGCTATTCCCTTTTGCAGCTATCCAACACAAATATACAAACTGGAAAGCTTTTCTTGTGAAAAGACTAACTGGTGCCAAGACCCTTCCGCCTGATTTTTGCTCCAAGGTAAGATGGTCAGCTCCTTTATTCCTTTTCAATTCCCATTTTTTCCTGAATCATACTGCCAAAATTTGTTACAATAAGGCAAAGGGTAGTAAGTTTTTTTTTTAAACAGGAAAGCTAGATTATGTGCGAGATCCATGGAACCTATGAAGAAAATAAAGCCACGAGCTAGCTTCATACTGCTGGGTTCTTCTGGGGTCTAACCTTGCTCATTGCATCAAGCAAATGCAGCTTAATTGGGTTTGAAAATACTGCATTCTCAACTTTACTTGGAAACACATGGCTTCTAAGCCCACACAGTTCTCAGGAATTGCCTCAGGACTCTGATACTTGATGCCTACAAGCTCCTAGAATGTCTCCTTAGTTCTAACAGCAGAGAGGCATTCAACTGTTTTTGACTGCTCACTGAGTCTTCAATGCAGAACCCATGTTAGTCAGTTGCCTTTCCAGCAGTGTAGCTAAAAGCAGCACTGCCTAATGTTGAGCCTGCATCAGACTTTTCCCATTGATGCCCTGCAACCTTTGAACTCTGCTTCAGTGACTACAGAGCTGTCCTGAGTGACCACTCTCAAACCTTGCAACAAGCCCCTCCCTTACTCCTGGGTTGAATTAATTGTTGCTGCCTGGCAACTCTTGGAGCAGTCCATGCCGTAAATGTTACATAAGAACATAAACGGTAGAAGCAAGAGTAGACCATCTGGCCTGTTGAGCCTGCTCTGCTATTCAATAACGTCATGGCTGATCTCTTTGTAGACTCCGCTTCACTTACCTGCCTGCTCACCGTAACCCTTAATTCCTTTTACTGTTCAAAAATCTGTCTACCTTTTACCTTAAAGACATTCAATAAGGTAGCATTAACTGCTTCACTGGGCAGGGAATTCCACAGATTCACAACCCTTTGGGTGAAGATGTTCTTCCTTGACTCATTCCTAAATCTGTTACCCCTTATTTTGAGACTATGCCCCCTAGTTCTAGTTTCACCTGCCAGGAGAAACAACCTCCCTGCTTCTAGTCTATTCCCTTCATAACTTTGTGTTTCTGGAAGATCCCACTCATTCTTCTGAATTCCCATGAGAATAGTCGCTGTCTACTCAATCTCTCCTCATGAGCCAACCCTCTCAATTCCGGAACCAACCTAGTGAACCTCCTCTGCACCCCCTCCAGAGCCGGTACATCCTTTGTCAAGTAAGGAGGCCAAGACTGTCCGCAGTATTCCAGGTGTGGTCTCACCAGGTCCCTATACAGCTGCAGCATAACCTCCCTGTTTTTAAACTCCATCCCTCTAGCAATGAAGGACAATATTCTGTTTGCCTTCTTAATTGCCTATTGCACCTGCAAGCTAACTTTGTGATTCACGCACAAGGAGACCCAGGTCCCACTGCATAGCAGCATGCTGTAACTTTTCACTATTTAAATAATAGCCCATTTTGCTGTTATTCCTATCAAAATGGATGGCTTCACATTTATCAACATTGTACTCCATTTGCCAGACCCTTGCCCACTCACTTAACCTATTTATATCACGCTGCAGACTTTGTGTCCTCTGCACACTTTAGTCTACCACATATCTTAGTGTCATCTGTGAACTTTGACACATTACACTTGGTCCCCAACTCTAAATCATCTATGTAAATTGTAAACAACTGCAGTTTCAACACTGATCCCTGAGGCACACCACTAGTAATTGATCACCAACCAGAAAAATATCCGTTATTTCCACTATTTGCTTTGTTTAAGTTAACCAATCCTCTACCCATGCTTATACATTACCTGTAATGCTGTGCACCTTTATTTTATGCAGCAACCTTTTGTGTGGCACCTAGACAAATGCCTTCTGGAAATCCAGATAAACCACATCTACTGAGTTCCCATTGTCCACTGTGCTCATGAACTTCTCAAAGAATTCCAGTAAATTAGTTACACGCAACTTACCCTTCATGAACCCATACTGTGTCTGCCTGAAGGGACAATTTCCATCCAGATGTGTCTCTATTTCTTCCTTGGTGGTAGATTCAAGCACTTGTTCCACTGCAGAAGTTAAGCTAACAGGCTTATGGTACCCTGCCTTTTGTCTATCTCCTTTTCTTAAACAGTGGCGTCACGTTTGCTGTTTTCCAATCTGCCAGAACTACCCTAGAGTCCAGCAAACTTTGGTAAATTTCCTCAAGCGCATTTGCTAATTTCCCCCACCATCTCTTTTAGAACCCTGGGATGCATTCCATCAGGGCCAGGAAACTTGTCTACCTTTAGCTCCATTAGCTTGCCCAACATTACCTCTTTAATAGCGATAGTTTCTAGGTCCTCACCTGCCATAGCCTCCTTGTCATCAATTATTGGCACGTCATTTGTATTTTCCACTGTGAAGACCGACATGCACTACCTGTTCAGTGCCTCAGCCATTTCCTCATTTCCCATTATTAAATTCCCCCTTTCTATCTTCTAATGGACCAAAGTTTCCCTTAGCCACTCTTTCTCATTTTACATATTTGTAGAAATGTTTGCTATTTGTTTTTATATTGAGCTAGTTTACTCTCGTAAACCATCTTATCTATATTTATAGCTTTTCTTGTTGGTTTCTGTTGACCTTTTAAAGATTTCCCAGTCACCTAGTTTCCCAATAGTCTTTGCCACTTTGTATGCATTACTTTTCAAATGGATACCCTCCTTTATTTCCTTAGTCATCCATGGCTGATTATCCCTTTTCGTACAGTCCTTCATTTTCACTGGTATATACATTTTCAGTGTGGGAAATCGATATTATCTCTCATTATTTATTTTGTTTTAATTTTATTTAATTTTACGCTCCTGCTAATGTGATTTACCCTTTGTTTCTTCACAAATGTTGAGTTGTGCTTGAGTCTGATTCCAGGAGCACCAGTTGTTTCTTTTCATATCTCTCCCAACACGAGAGCATGGACCAAGCTTGTTGGTTAGCACGGGCGGATCTACTAAATCTTTGTTTGTTCTGATTTGGCACTCATTTCCATTGAGAAAGCAATCTGCTGCGTGAACGTGGAACTTGTGGCCAAGTTATTTACTACAAAGTCATTGAGCTCTCCAAACTGTCCTTTAATTTGAAACTGGCCCCACTCTGGCTTGCTACTGAAACAGATAGTATTGTAACATTTTGCTTAAGGCTCAGAAGTGTAGCTAATGCCAGCCACTTCACTTCAGTCACATCAAGCTGTCTTGCAGGTTGTTGAAAGCATGCAGTACCCATTCAAAACTGCCATGCGCGTAGAAGTTGTTGATAAAACTCACCTCTGCCGAACACGAATAGCAGTGGTTGAAAGCATAGTGGGAGGACGTTTACGACTTATCTACGAAGAATGTGAAGATGGAACAGATGATTTCTGGTGTCACATGCTGAGTCCACTCATTCACCCCATTGGTTGGTCTCGAAGTATTGGACACCGATTCAAAAGAACAGGCAAGTGTTGAGTTGAGAATTTTTCTTGTGTTGTATTCTGACCAGATGTCCTTACAATTGGGGTTCACTGAGATCCCCTTTTTGTGTTTACTGTGCTGGTTCTGTGCCCACTTGGTTTTGTTTGTAAAGTGTATCTATAGGCTTGACAGAAGCAGAAGGAAAAGTCATTTAAACCCACTCCATTTTAAATTACTTGTCCTTGCTTTGTTTAGTCTGTGTAATACTGCATGCCCACAACAATGTGATTTTTAATTGCCCTCAGTCCCAGTAAGCCATTCCAGTAAAGGCAGTTAGGGATATGTAATTCTGGCCTTGTCAGTAATGCTAATATCCAACAAATGAACTAAAAGAAATATTGCATGGAGAGGATTGTGGTGTCAATATGTGGATAATCAGTAGCATGATGCAAAAAAAATTTGTCCTAAGTGATGGACCTTTAAATTTATTAATCTATTTCGGTGCTGTTGTGCCACAGTGGTAATATCCCTAACTCTGGAGCAAAGGGTCTGGGTTCACGTCTGACTTCCCCAAATGTGTGTCAAAACTTATAGATGCTGTGGAGGTGCTGGTGTTGGACGGGGGTGGACAAAGTCAGAAGTCACATGACACCAGGTTATAGTCCAACAGGTTTATTTGAAATCACAAGCTTTCAGAGCGCTGCTCCTCTGTCAGGTGAAGTGGAAGGAAGTGTACAGGCACGGAATTTATAGGTGGAGAGATCTTTGCAAGATTAACTCCAGATAATTAAGAGTGCCAAAAGATAGTACAAATGGTGTGAGCGGAGTGTCGACAGGCTGAATAACAAGTGTTTGCCGGTGATCAAAAGTGTCAAGCAGTGTGAGTAAAGTGTCAACAGCTGAATAGCAAGTGAAGGGATGACCTATGATCTGATTGATCAAGACAGAGAGATAATTACAAAATATTAAATTAAATTAAATTAAAAATAAGGTGGTGCTAAATACAAACCAAATGGCTGGAATAACATGATAGGTATAAGAGTCATATGACGATGGTCTAACTAAAGTAACAAGTAATCCAAAAATGTACAAACCAGTGAAAGGCTCATGCAGTGCGACATGAGCCCAAGGTCACAGTTGAGGTCGTCTTCATGGGTACAGAACTGATAGCCAAATTTCATGTTGCACTACATGTAACCCCACCATACTGTTCAGTGTATGGGTGTGGGGAGGAAATGGTCTGATGGTATTATCACTGGACTATTAATCCAGAAATCCAGGAAATGTTCTGGGGACGCAGGTTCGAATCCTGCCATGGCAGATGGTGGAATTTGAATTTGGGCGGCACGGTGGCTCAGTGGTTAGCACTGCTGCCTCATGGTGTCAGGTCCCCGGGTTCGATTCCATCCTTGAGTGACCGTCTGTGTGGAGTTTGCACATTCTCCCTGTGTCTGCGTGGGTTTCCTCCGGGTGCTCTGGTTTCCTCCCACAGTCCAAAGATGTGCGGGATAGGCGGATTAGCCATGCTAGATTTCTCATAGTGTTCAGCAATGTTTGGGTTAGACTTGGGAAATACAGGGGGATGGGTCTGGGTTTTGTGAAGGGTAGGTCGTGCCTCACAAACCTTATTGAGTTCTTCGAGAAGGTGACCAAACAGGTGGATGAGGGTAAAGCGGTTGATGTGGTGTATTTGGATTTCAGTAAAGCATTTGATAAGGTTCCCCATGGTAGGCTATTGCAGAAAATACGGAGGCATGGGATTGAGGGTGATTTAGCGGTTTGGATCAGAAATTGGCTAGCTGTAAGAAGACAGAGGGTGGTGGTTGATGGGAAATGTTCATGCTGGAGTTCAGTTACTAGTGGTGTACCTCAAGGATCTGTTTTGGGGCCATTGCTGTTTGTCATTTTTATAAATGACCTGGATGAGGGCGTAGAAGGATGGGTTAGTAAATTTGCGGATGACACCAAAGTCGGTGGAGTTGTGGATAGTGCGGAAGGATGTTGTAGGTTACAGAGGGACATAGATAAGCTGCAGAGCTGGGCTGAGAGGTGGCAAATGGAGTTTAATGCGGAAAAGTGTGAGGTGATTCACTTTGGAAGGAGTAACAGGAATACAGAATACTGGGCTAATGGTAAGATTCTTGGTAGTGTGGATGAGCAGAAAGATCTCGGTGTCCATGTGCATAGATCACTGAAAGTTGCCACCCAGGTTGATAGCGTTGTTAAGAAGGCGTACAGTATGTTAGGTTTTATTGGTAGAGGGATTGAGTTTCGGAGCCATGAGGTCATGTTGCAGCTGTACAAAACTCTGGTGCGGCCGCACTTGGAGTATTGCGTACAGTTCTGGTCACCGCATTATAGGAAGGATGTGGAAGCATTGGAAAGGGTGCAGAGGAGATTTACCAGGATGTTGCCTGGTATGGAGGGAAGGTCTTATGAGGAAAGGCTGAGGGTTTTGAGGCTGTTTTCGTTAGAGAGAAGAAGGTTAAGAGGTGACTTAATAGAGACATACAAGATGATCAGAGGATTAGATAGGGTGGACAGTGGGAGCCTTTTTCCTCGGATGGTGATGGCTAGCACGAGGGGACATAGCTTTAAATTGAGGGGTGATAGATATAAGACAGATGTGAGAGGTAGGTTCTTTACTCAGAGAGTAGTAAGGGCGTGGAATGCCCTGCCTGCAAAAATAGTAGACTCGCCCACTTTAAGGGCATTTAAATGGTCATTGGATAAACATATGGATGATAATGGAATAGTTTAGGTTAGATGGGCTTCAGATTGGTTTCACAGGTCGGCGCAACATCGAGGCCGAAGGGCCTGTACTGCGCTGTAATGTTCTATGTTCTATGTTCTATGCCCTTCAGAGGGGTGGTGTAGACTTGTTGGGCTGAATGGCCTGTTTCCACACTGTAGGGATTCTATGAAAAAATTATGTTTGCAGAATCTTCCCTCCTGTTTTGTTTGGATACCAGCACCTTGATAACTTATGTTCTCTCTACCTTTTACTGGTTTGTACATTTTTGGATTACTTGTTACTTTAGTTACACCCTCGTCATATAACTTATACCTATCATGTTATTCCAGCCATTTGGTTTGTATTTAGCACCACCTTATTTTTAATTTAATTTTATTTATTTTTTTGTAATTATCTCTCTGCCTTAATTAATCAAATTATAGGTCATCCCTTCACTTGCTATTCAGCTGTTGACACTTTACTCACACTGCTTGACACTTGATCATCTGCGAAGACTTGTTATTCATCCTATTGACACTCCACTCACACCATTCGTACTATCTTTTGACACCCTTAATTGCCTAGAATTATCTTGCAATGATCTCTCCGCCTATAAATTCTGCGCTGTGTGCTTCCTTCCACTTCATCTGATCAAGGAGCAGCACTCTGAAAACTAGCCTAAACATGTATTTCATATAACACCTTTCTAAAAAATGTACATTGTCCAATTTACATGTTGGTGTACAAAATTCTGAGGGACTTAAGATAAGATAGGTATGGAGTAACTTTGACCCTTAGAGGGGTGAATAATCAGAGAGTATAGTTTTAAAGTAAGGAGCAGGAGGGTTAGAGGGTTTTTCAGGAAATACTTTTTCACCAAGTGGGTGGTGATTATCTCTAACTCACTGCTTAAGAGTGATAGATGTGGGAATCCTCAAGACAGAAGTATTTAGGGGAATATTTGAAATGCCATAGCATAAAAAGCTGCAGACCAAGTCTTGGAAAATGGTATTAGGATACATACTTGATGACCAGTGTGGCACAATTGGCTGAATAGCCTTTATTTGTGCTACATTACTATGACTGTAATGGGTACTATATAATGTATTAGATATGAAAGAAACAAAAGACAAATAAATAACCACCGCCTTGGAAATCGAGAATAATGCGGAAGCTTGGGGACATATATGATATTTCGGGCAGGATTAAAAATGAGAACATAGCTGAAATCAGAAGTGACTGTTATTGTTCTGACTATTCACGTTTTCATGCCTATGAAATTTCATCTGAAAACTAATCCTGAACTTCCAGGCTGTGCTGTTGGTTGGTTTTTATTCGCATCTAGGTTTAGTTTCTATCATTGATTAGTTCCTGTATTGCTTGGCTGTGTGCCCTTTTTAAAATTATATTAAATTTACAAACTTTGTTTTAATATTTAGATGGTTCAAAGAAGCAGGAAGGACAATGTGATGCTGCACCACAGCTGTTTGCAAAGGTAAGCTGAAGTAAGGAATTGTGTCCTTAATGGTTAACGTGGGGTGTTACCGATATTTATAACCTGAAAACATTCATGATTGCATAGAGTTTCCTTGTTTGCCTAATTAGATGGTCGAATTGGTTTAGGGACATTTCAAAAATGAGGGGGTCTTCCATTTGGGGAGTTTTTTTTGATGTTTAGGTCTGCGGAAGCACCCCCCCTCCCCCAAACTCAACTCTGGAAATCTGGAGGCAAAGTAATAGAATATTTTTCAGGCAGAAATAGGTAGTTGACTAACAAGGGACTTTGTGCATATCAGGGGCAGGTGGGAATCTGCAGGTCAGGATAAAATCCGATCGGTCACGTTCTTATTGAATGGCACAGCAGTCTTGAGGGGCTGAATGGCCTCCTAATTTGTATGTTCAAACGCTGCATGTGCCTTTTTAATCCAAACACAACTCCTGCTTAGTCCCTTGGATGTAATTTTTTTGGTTCATGTTGCAGCTTACTGTAATAAATGCTGTTTAATCATGCAGCGTTACAAACTCAATGAGGTTGAACTGGCCAAATCAAATAAACACTATTTGCTAGCAGAGGGATGCGAGATATTTGTGGTCAAGTTCACTTTGTTACAACAATAATTTGGTAAGTTCATCTTTAAATGCAAGATTTCTTCTTGTTCCTTCATCAACCTTCATGTTCTGTGCAAAGCTGTCCAGCTGCAAAAATAGACCCAGAAATATGAATATAAAGTCTTGTAACAAGCCTGATCTTGTGACTGGTTTACAGTCATGGAATGTTACTGGCAATTTGTTTTTCTGAGTTGAGAAGGCAGCTTTACATCTGAAGGACTCCATTATTCAAGGATTGAACATGTTTTTTTCCTTGAAATCTGCCTCTAATTTTATAATCTGTCATTTGAAGAGAACAGCTTCTAAATTACCAATGTTGTTCCAGGCCAAAGTTCTTACTTAGGAATTAAGTTTTGCATCAGCATTATAACTACTCTTTCCTTGTGGCTATGTTTGTGAAGTGTCATGATCATTTGAGCTTGAATGTGTCAAAACTCTGGAGGACGCCGACGTGTTATCAATTTTGCCTCCAGACCTGTTCTTTTAATACATGTGACAGCTTTTCTAAAACTTTCTAATTCCATCTAGTGAAGTTTTTAGTTGTTTTACACAAATCGTTTGAAAGCTGTTTTCTAGCAAATAATTGTGGTCACTATTTTTTGTTGCGTACAAACATCAAATGTAAGAATTAGGAGTAGGGACTGTTGACCCCTCAAACCCACTCTACCAATCAATAAGGTAATGGCTGAACTGATTAGTTCACACATCTGCCTACCCCTGATCAGTTTCATCCCCTTGCTTATCAAGAATCCATATACCTCTGCCTTGAAAATATTCAAAGAATTTCTTCCTCAACAGGCTTGGAAGTAGAGTCCCTGAGAAACTCGACCCTCCTGGAAAAATGAATCTCATCTATGTCTTAAGGGGTTGGCTCTAATTTCTTGCATAAGAGGAAATATCCTTTCCACCTGTCAGTATCCCTGAAGATCTTTTCTGCTTCAACCAAGTTTCCTCTTGATGTTCCAAACTCCAGCAGATTTAAGCTTAACCTGCTGAACTTTTCCTCATCAGACAATCCAACTATTCCACATATTAGTCTGATAAACTCTCTGAACGGCGTCCATCCTGAAATAAGGTGACCAATACTGTACACAGTAGTCCAGATATTATCTCACTGTGATGTAACTGAAACATAACCTTCTACTTTTTGTATTCAAATCCCATCACAGTAAACAATAACTTTTTATTAGCTTTACTAATAACTTTCAAGGAGTAGCATAAGGGTAGACTGTTACTAACTGAGGTGACTAGTAAACTCTTCTGAGGGTGGTGAATCTTTGAAATTCTCTATTCCAGAGGGTTGTGGAGGCTCTGATGTTGAATATATTCAAGACAAGGTTGGTATTTTGCATATGAGAAATGGCAGGGGGATAGTGTAGGAAATGTGTTGAAGCAGACAAGGGCCATGACATCATTGAATGCCTTGACATTAAAAGGCTGAATGGCCTCTATCTGCTCCAATTTCACATTGTTGTGCTAACTATTAACTCGCTTTGAAGTGGCCTAATGTGCTACTTGGTTAAATCATTTTTGGGTTGAACATGGCAGTTCACTACCACCTCAAGGTAATAAAGTGCGGATAATATATGCTGACCTTTGATGCCTATATCCTGAGAATGATTGATTGATTTTTTTTTTTTTTTTTTTGTTGAAGAATTGCCTTTCTTCGTGAGTGTACTAAGTCTGTTGATTTCCAGGTGAAGGATGTGGACCAGAGTGGGGAGTGGTTCCAGGAAGGGATGAAGCTGGAAGCAATTGACCCACTGAATTTGTCTGCGATCTGTGTGGCCACAGTCCGCAAAGTAAGTGCACTAGCACATGTGTGCACACAACCCTACCACATCACTCTACTCCAGCAGCCTCTTCACCAGGGGTTTTATAAATGGCACTTGGTTGTTGTGCTGCTCTTGGACCTTGACAGACGGTTGTCCTGATAGGAGGGAAGTTTTCTTCCTTTTACAGGAGGAACCTTGACTGAGATGGGTTTAGGATCATCTATCAGCTCTGTTCAAGTGAGTTGAAGTTTCTGATGCTTCCCATTTGGGGATTCCATGCATATACTAGTATGCTTGAACCTAATCCTATTAGCTATTTTGAATTGGAATTTGTTTTGATGCTTTAAACTGTAGTGTCACTCCCTACTGTTGAGCTAGAGGATTGTTCGGAGACTACAGGTTCTGTCTTGCCCACAGGCTCAGTGTCAACTGATTAATCTTAAATTGATTCTTGAACCTGCAATGCTCATCCTTTGTGTCATCCATTTGAGAGGGAAGGTGGAGTATAGTTGTTATACAGGCATAACCTGTTGTACCTGCTGCAGTGAGCGCAGGAATATCAGGTGTAAGCAAATAATCCTGATGACCCTTAGTAAATAACTACTTGAATTTGCATATATGCAAACTCAAAAGATCATAACTTGCAATTTTTTTTCTGTTTAATGTCTTAGAATATGTTTGAGATTTAAAGTCACCACGTTTATTTAAGCTATTCCTGAGTTAATTCAATTAACTACGTTCCCAAAGATTGGGTGTGACCAGCACCCCTGAATCCTCCAGCTGCCGATTGAGCTTTATACAAGGGATTAAAGACAAGTGATCATTGTTGCAGATTACAAATTCTGAAATATAAATCCAGTAGTTTCCGAGTTCACCATGTAGAATGGTGACCTGCCGCTTTGCTCACAAATTTGTTGCTGGCTCCTCCAACTTTCCATTCACCCTTAGCTTAACCTGAGTGATGAAAGATTGCTCATTGTTTTGTCTGCTTAAAGGAACGCTGTGGAGAAATATTCCAATCCTTAAGGAAAAAAATGAATTAATCTTTCCTAATATGTTTGCATTGTGACTAAATGCAGCACTGGCTTAAGTCTTGAAGAGGAAAGATATGCAGTCAAAACCAAATTTCTCTGAGGAGTGAACTATAGAATTGATGTTCCGTTAGTGTGCAGTAAAATCTGGAACAATTAGCTGGGCAGTCGTGAGTGGATATGAGTTTTAGGACCTGCCGCACAGATGCCAGTGTATTTCTCATGTTATTCTTCACCCTCTAAAGAAATACTGTATTCTTTTTTTCTAAAGAACCATGGGTGTAATCCTGCTGTAAACTATTACTGTCTGTCATATCTGTTAGTTGGAATGGCAGCACACCGTGCAAGCCTGCCTTTGTGTCTTGCCGTTTGAAAGAGCCACCAAGGCTTTAAACTGATCAGTCACTGGAGAGATTCACTTCACTGAGATGGTGTTGTGGTGAAACTTTGTAATTTCGTGATACCCTTCCTCACTATTTGCTTTGTGAACAATTACTGCAGAAATGTTTTTGACGCCAAGTTGTATAAGAAAGAAAAATTGTCACTACCTGGCATCCTTCTGCACTCTGCAAGAGGATCCATGTGAATTTCTATGATATTGACCATGTGCTTTTCTTCCGACTTGTGAAATGTCCCCATTTCTTTTATAGGTATTAGCTGAGGGCTACCTGATGATTGGCATCGATGGCTCAGAGGCAGCAGATGGCTCGGACTGGTTTTGTTACCACTCCGTTTCTCCGTCAATTTTTCCTGTGGGGTTCTGTGAAATCAACAAGATTGAACTTACTCCTCCCAGAGGTAATGGCTTTCTTGGTGGGTAACATGTAATAGTTTAATTGCTGTGGATCTAACTCTGTTAAAGCTCAATGCAATATCATTGTTTCATTGACGGTCTGAATTAATTTCATGTGATGGGGTTTGAACCCCATTGTCTGCTGTTTATTCCTTTTTAAGTTCAAGTTCTCTTTTGCTGTAAGCTTACTGCTGCTGACTTAGTTGATTTTAATATGGTTCTCCAAGGTATCTCCCAGGTCAGTCAGAAGCAAAGATTCCTTTGGTTTGTCGGTGACTAGGGTTGCTAAGATCAGGATGATTTGAGTATTGGTGTGAAATGCTGCAGGAAATTGAGTTCAGAGCTGATCCCTTGTGAGAGAGAACTTGTTTACATTTGGGACAATACCTTTAACCTTGCTATGAGTCCCAGGTAGGAGAGTAGCTGTCTGTCCTCTGGTAATGAGTGGAATGGAAAAGGAGAATTTATGTAGCTGCAGGTTAACAAACTAAACTACAGTAAAGTAGAGCACCTCCGTGGCAGTTTAGCAGTGATGATAACAGATCCACACTTGGTGTACCCTCAACTATAAAGTGTCTGCGCTCCCTGATCAGCTCATTGTTGGTTCCTTCGTTGTTGAGGACATACTTCTTTCTATTGTAAAATCTCGCCTAACACAAGTGCTTTTGAAGGGGCTGTCTTTGGTACGAGATGTTAATTCAAGGCACCATCTGCTGTGGATATAAAAGATTGCAGGAAATGATCTTTAATCAGGGCTTGGGAATTACCCAAGCCAGTATCAGTCTGTAAAATAGTATAATTTTTTAAAACAAAGTCTGATCATAGTTCTAAATTGGGACCATCCCTTGAAAATTAAGGACTTCTGACATAAATTTCGTGCAACAAAGCTTCAAATTAGGAAGGTCGAGAATGGATTCCTGCTCGGAGTTGAGTTATCTTGATCTCGTGGAGGAAGAAGTAGTCAGTGTGCCACAGGTAGTCTTAACGTTCTCAGGTCTAGGGAGAGGAGAAAGCCAGTGGTGTTCTGGTTCCAGGGTCACCATCTGTTCGTGTGTATTAGAAACTCTTAAGTAAACATAATGGGTAGACTGTGGAATCGGATTCAGTGGTGATACCAACATGACTGCCATTAGCCAGGTATTCATTGTGTGTCAGATTGAGTTGTTGCTGACAGAAAGGAGGGGAGAGCAGAAAGAGCACAGTGGTTGCACGCACGTGTATGCACCATCTCTGGTTTTGTATTTGAAGCAGGTATGTGAACTGGTGTCATGTGTTGTACTGTCCCACCAGTTGAACGTTCTTGATGTCCCAAGACGAGATGGGCACTTCAGCTTTAGTAAATTACTGCACGCTAAGGTGATGCTGGCTATTTTACAGGTTACTCCAAAATTCCTTTCAAATGGTTCGACTACCTTAGGGAGACGGGATCCGTTGCAGCACCTGTCAAACTGTTCAACAAGGTGAGAGGATAAGCTGTTGGAGATGACTTCTTCCACTCCCTCTATTCTTTCTCATTCTGTCTGCATTTGGAAATTGGCACTAGGGAACTCGTCCTTAAGTAGAAGTTTTGAACTTTTACTGACAATTGTCTATTTTAAGCTCAAGCATGTTTTTTTTGATTCTGGCCACTTCTATGACGTGACCTTGACAGTAAAGTTGAAAGAGCTACTGAATTTTTAGACAGTTGCCCTGATGAGAGAATAAAGTTCTATCTGCATCTGTGGGTGATTGTGCACAAGCTAGTGTGGCTGCTTGGGTAGTAATCAGAACATTGGGTTTATTCAATTAGACTCGCTCTGCAGCATGGAATCATGTGAATTAGGTGGAATCAGCATTTGATCTTGGATGTATAGAGTTTGTTAATCTCAAACTGTAGCAGGCCTCCTCACTGCAAGAGGAAACAAAAGTCTGATCAACAAGGTTAGCTGTTCCTGTTAGCTGTTTAAATCATTCCTGTAGAAAGGGCTTGTGTCCAGTTGTTAAGAGCTTCTGCTATAATATCCCATGATTGAGTAACACACAAACATAGAGAATAGGAGCAGAGTAGACCATTTGGTCCTTCTAGCCCACATCGTCATTTTATTATGGTCATGGTTGAACATCTAACTAAACAGTCTGCTTTTTTTTTTTGCCCCCTAGATCCCTTAATCCTTTGCCCCCCCCCAACCTCTGCCCCAAGTGCTACAACCAACTGCTTCCTGAAATCATAAAATGTTTTGGCCTAGAATGCTTTTCGTGATCGTGGATTCCACAGTCTGAAGAAATTTCTGTCCTAAAAGCTTTACCCCTTATGCTTAAACTATGACTGCTGGTCCTGGACTCTCTTGTCATTGGGACCATCTTTCCTGCATCTAACCTGTCTAGTCCTGTTCGCATTTTATACGTTTGTATGAGATTTCCCTCATCCCAAATTTATTCTTCTAAATACAATCCTAACTGACTTTATCTCTCCTCATACTCAATCCTACCATCCCAGGAATCAATTCGTAAATTTCACTGCACCCACTCTATAACAAAAATGTAATTCTTCAGATAAGGAGACTAAAACTGCACATACTATCCCAGGTGTGGCCTCACCAATGCCCTGGATAATTGTAGTAAGATATCCTTGTTCCTGTACTTGAACCCTCTCACATTAAGGCTGGCGTATTTTACTGCCTGCGCACTTACCGTCGGCGACTGGTGAATGAGGACACCCAGGTCTCATTCCACATTCTCAATTTACAGCCAATTAAATAGCATTAAGGCTTATCTTTATGACATTACTTGTCCCATTCCCATTGTTTTTCATGATGGCTCAGTTTGATCCCTGTCCTTCATTTCCCCTTTCGTCCTTTTGTTGTTCTCCTTGATTCTCCATCCTCTGACTCCTTGCGTAGGTTCTCATCCTCCTGCCATTTTAATTTAAACCCTCCCCAACCACAGGAGCAAATACTTTCCTGAGGACATCAGTCCTAATCCTAGAGCTGTACAGTATGGAAACAGACCCTTTGGTCCAACTTGTCCATGCCGACCAGATGTCCTATACAAATCTAGTCCCACTTGCCAGCATTTGGCCCATATCCTTCTAAACCCTTCCTATTCATATACCCATCCAGATGCCTTTTAAATGTTGTAGTTGTACCAGGCTCCCCCACTTCCTCTGGCAGCTCATACATGCACCACCCTCTGCGTGAAAAAGTTGCCTCTTACGTCCCTTTTAAATCTTTCCCCTCTCACCTTAAACCTATGCTGTCTAATTTTGGACTGCTCTACCGTGGGGAAAAGACCTTAGCTATTCACCCTATCCATGCCCCTCATGATTTTATAAGGTCACCCCTCGGCTTCCCACACTCCAGGAAATAGCCCCAGCCTATTCAGCCTCTCCCTGTAGCTCAAACCATCCAACCCTGGCAATGTCCTTGTAAATCTTTTCTGGACCATTTCAAGGTTCAAAACATCCTTCTTGTAGCAGGGAGACCAGAATTGAATGCAGTATTCCAAAAGTGGCCTAACCAGAGTCCTGTACAGCCACAACATGACCTCCCAACTCCTATACTCAATACACTGACCAATAAAGGCAAGCGTACCAAATGTCGTCTTCTCTATCCGGTTTACCTGCGACACTACTTTCAAGGAACTATGAACCTGCACTCCAAAGTCTCTTTGTTCAGCAACTCTCCCCAGGACCTTTCTGTGAAGTGCATAAATCCTGCCCTGATTTGCCTTTCCAAAATGCAACACCTCACATTTATCTAAATTAAACTCCATCTGCCACTCCTCAGCCCATCTGATTTAAGGTCCTGTTGTACTCTGGGGTAACTTTCTTCATTATCCACTACACCTCAATTTTAGTGTCTTCCAAACATAGATTGGGACTGCATTAGTGTCAAGGGCTTGGATGGAGAGGAATTTAAATGTGTAGAACAGCAACCACCAAAAAAAAATTCTAGTCCTGCCCCTATATAACCCATCCAGTTTGTAGTGGTCCCACCTCCCCCAGAACTGGTCCTAGGAATCTCAAACACTTCCCCCTCACACCAGGGAGAGAATTCCAAGCTTTTAACCCAGCACCAGCGAAGAAACTGATATATTTCCAAGTCAGTATGGTAAATAACTTGGAGGGGAACTTGTACATTGGAACCCCACCAACTATCTGCTGGCCTTTGATAATTAGAACTGAAGTTTCGTCCCACAGCCCAAATATGTGTAGGTTAGGTGGATTGGCTGTGGGAAATGCAGAATTACAGGGATATAATTAAGGGGTGGATCTGGGTGGGATCCCCTTCAGAGAATTGATGCGGACTCAATGGGCCGAAATCCTGTAGGGATTCTGTCTCTTTATTTATGTATTCATCTAATATATCCTGCTGTTTTTACCTGAATTGACACGTCGTACTGGTAGCAATCCTGAGATCCCTATCTTCTGAGATCTGACGTTTCAGCTTGTTTTTTGATGCCCCATATTTTGCTTTTAAAATTGCATCCTTTTTTCTCTTTTCCCAATGTCGCTTTTACTAGTGTGTACTGTGGCCATCAGCTATTCTTCTTCTCCCTCCAGAATGTCCTGTAGCCACTTGGACGTCCTTGACTCTAGCACCAGGGAGGCACTATACCCCTGGAGTGATATTTGTGGCCACAGAGCTGCTGTCTACTCCCTTTAAAATTGAATACCATCTAACTAATGCATTCCCACACTTTTTATTGCTCTCCTGTGCAACAGGGCCAACCATGGTGCAATGCATTTGGCTCCTCTGTTTTCCCCCTGTGAGGCCATTCCCCTCAACAGTATCCAATGCAGAATATCAGTTTTACAAGGGGAATAGCCACAGCAAATCCCTACACTGCCTGGTCATTGCACATTCCCTTCCTGTTTGGGGAATCTTAGACTGCGGTGTGACCACCTCTCTGTGCATACTATCCACGATACTCCGAGCTTTGTGAATGCCATATAGTGTCCCCAGCTGCTGCTCCAGCTCTGAAACCTGGCCTTCCAGGAGCTGCAGCTGGAGACACTTTCTTCCTGCATACATGCTGGTCTCGGGCACTGCAAGTGTTCCTGGCTTCCCACATCAAGCAGGAAGAGCACACCACAGCTTTGAGCTCTCCTGCCATGACTTCCCTTTTTAATTTAAACATTTTGGAAGTTGCTAAAATCAAATACTCTCGGGTCCTTATTCCTTGGTCCTCCTGTAAGCCTTATATTCTGTAGTGACCAATTATAAATCTCAAACGGGACCTCATGCCCTCCACACCAAATTCCCACAGAGCTCCTAATTCCTGAGATGTGCCCACATCCTAGCTGCGTCGCACTCAGGATCTATTCTCTCCGAGCTGAGAAGCTTGCTTGTACTTGCTGAATGTATGGATCCTGTGGTGTGCTCCCAGGCACAGCCTGGACCCACAGAACTGACTCCACATTAGACGTAGTTATAGAGTATTATTTTTGAAAAGGTTTTCCAAATGATTGATCTCCAGCTTTCCCTGTGAACACAGGAAGTTCCAAACCATGGCTTCCGAGTGGGAATGAAATTGGAAGCTGTAGATCTGATGGAGCCGCGTTTGGTGTGTGTAGCAACTGTTACCCGCATTGTCCATCGGCTCCTCAGGATCCACTTTGATGGATGGGAGGATGAATATGACCAGTGGGTAGACTGCGAATCTCCGGATCTTTACCCTGTTGGCTGGTGTGAACTGACCGGCTACCAGCTTCAGCCACCAGCATCGCAAGGTAAGTTAGCAGATTATCCTTTAAAACCAGCTGGCAGCATGGGGCATGTTTTATTTGTTCACAGGGTGTAGATGTCAATGACGAGCTCAGCATTTATTACCTATCTAATGACAGATGAGCCCATTTCACCTCAAAAGACATAGACACCTGACACTGCCTGAGCCTGAAGAAAGTTGCTCGTGATTGAAACTTCCACATTCTTTTTGAGTGTTGTTGATTTTTTTTTTTTTTTTTTTGTTTATAAGCAACCCCTTGGAACTTGCTAGGCCATTTCAAAGGGCAGGTAAGAGTAGCTACATTGCTGTGAGTCATGTATAAGCCAGGCCCAGTAAGGTGGCAGACTTCCTTATTGAGCAGGGTGTGATTTACTATTTTGTAGTTTGGCCATTATTACTGAGATTACTGCTTCATTGACTTATTTCATTAATTCAGTTTAAATTCCATATTGCCATGGTATGATCTCATCCCTGATCTCACATCATTAGCCCAAGACCTTCAGCCCAATAGTTAGGGCATTCTGTTTCCATTTTTGTTTGCAACTGCAATTTCTCGAGTTCTCACCTGTGCTCCGTGATCCTCTTCACTTTCTGTTCCTTTTTTAAGAACCTTTTTAAAATCCCACTTTTTCATCCGAGCTTTTCTTCACCCTTTCAAACAGCTTCGAAGTTTGCTCGGTGCCCATTTGGTCTGATTACTTCTCTGTGAAGAGCCTTTAGGATTTTTTTTCTGTTAAAGGTGACATATTCAAGTTATTGGTGATTTTGGTGAAATGGGAAACAGCTGCTCTGTCCACATGCCTGAATTTCTGTGGATTGTTCTCGTCCCCTTGACCTTCCTAAAGTGTATTGCTGCTTTGTAATTCTCCAAGATTGTCAGAATCCTGTTTTCTGCCTGTTTATGATCTGTAGTTTGGCAGTGGAGATGTCCAAGTTCTGGCTTGCGAGCTGAACATTGCTCTTTCCCGTCTTGTGTCTCTTAAATTGCTTTCCTGTTCCTCTTTCAGCCTCCAGGGAGAATCAAACCAATGTGATGAAAAAGAAGAAAGCAAAGTCCAGCCAGTACAAGGGGCACAAAAAAAGTAGGCTCCCTTTTTTTTAATGATTTGATTTGTTTTTTGGCTCTGTCTTCTTTGGTTATTCTGTTGTTTAACTTGTATTTACATCATTAGAAATATGCTGAACACCTTGAAGGTTACAACTCACTTCTCAGGAATTTGCGATCCCTAAGTACCTACATGTAAAAGAAAAAAGGTGACGTTCCAAAACTTGCCTGGAG